TGCATATATTACATAACATTTGTCATCATTAAGTGGCTTGGCCTTGTCATTTGGAATCAAATGGTAGAGGAAAATTCAACCAAGTGCAAAAATTTATGTCATGCAGTGACAAACTACATAATATATAGTTTGACTGAAATATAATTTTCTTAAGCATAATTTGTACCACTAAGTCCCATCAATTTGATGAATTTTTATCAAGTGTAATTGTTATATCGTTAGGTGAATAATACTTGGCTACTCAAAAAGAAAGTAGGAGTTCTTAATCAAAATTGTTCGTCAACGATTTATAGAACTTCGTGTTTATAATCAAAACTGTTCATATTATAAATCACTCTATAAATATCGCCTCTACAAAAATATTAAAACTAAAGTCTTTTAGTCGTCGAATTGTGTAAACACAAATGAACGGAGTTGGTTAAAGCATTTTGAACTGTCTATATATTTGCTAGAATAGATTGACTAGACGACCTTAGTTTTAATTCATTTTATGCAGAAATGATCTCTACAGTTATTCATAGAATGAACGGTTTTGATCATATATACAAAATTCTGTGATTCGAACACGATGAGTTTGAGTAAGAGTTCTTACTTATTTTTAAGTAGCCAAACATTGTTCTTGTCAGTTGATTTTATAACTTTATTGATGTTATTAGTACATCACACAACAATATGTATTTCATTCAAAATACATACAATATGCATGTTATAAATATAAAAAATTATAGGAAGAGAAAGAAACTATACGGAAATGACTACTCTCAATAATACTTTGAGTTGTACCTGAAGAAACTGAAAGCTTGAATTTCGAGTTTCAACCATGCTGCAGTAACCAAAGTCCAAAACCATACATTCTGCACAATTTCAATATCAAGACCTAGTCGAGAAGCATCTGAGTGAAGGACCATAGAAAATGGACCAACTTTTTAACCCTAAAGTTTTAAATTTTCATGATTTATGTCCCCCAAGTTTTAATCAAGGAGAAAGATATAATGTTATATTGACTGAGGGATTAATAGCATATTTGGTAACTTCATGTAGCTAGGCTCATTGACTCAGTTGAATCTAAATTCTTTTTTTTTTCTCTAAATTTGTCATTATATATATGCACTCATTGGACTACCTGGTAAGTTTCCTAATTGTCTTAATCTAACAGGATTAGCAGTCATTATTGCTGAATGTTATGGAAAATTTGTACTTATAGATAATCCAGAATTTGACACATTCCAAAAAGTAAATAACGCTCCTAAAAGTGGGAAAAAAAAAAAAGCAAAAGCACATCTCTTTTTGGGATTTTTTGGTCACTATAAAGACAACCCTTTTATTTATTTTTTTTCCAACATAGCTTTTGGTGCGTACAGTAACGATGGGCATGATTTGCATGCAGGTAAAAGCGTAATAACTGGGAATATATATATATATATGTATTCTTTGCCGGTTTACATTACGTTTTTAGGCTGAATAAAACGGCTACTACTAGTGAGTATATCTGCATTCCCTTGGTGGTTATAAATGATCTGGGACTCTGTTATGTGATGTTACTAAAATGTGTGTGTATATATATATATATATATTATAATTCGTGTTTTATTTGTTAATAATACACCTTAGAGCATACACTTGTTATATACTTCTATATGCAACATGAAGTTTCATTTTCTTAGGTTCTATGGTCTAAAGAAATGATCATTCACCGTAAGTTTCATTTTCTTAGGTTCTATGGTCTAAAGAAATGATCATTCACCGTTCGATTTTAATTCAATTGTTGAGAGAAATATACAACAACAAAAATCAAATAGTCATTTGCCGTTAAATTTAAAGTGAGCAATTAGTGGTACCACCATTTCTTTGAACTATGTGGTCAAAGAAAGCAAAATTGATGTAACATGTAACCTAATCACATGCATATGAAGGAATTACGATCAAACCGCAAAAGGAAAATTCTTTGCCTTGTAAAATTTAATCATAATATACTAATCAAATTGGTGGATATGCATGGAGGCAACGGGCAAATCGGTAAACGCAACACCATTTCTTGGTATGTAGGGCATGAATTATATCAAACTCGAGTGTTTTCCTTCTTCTCTTTTATTTTTATGGCCAAAAGCATGTTATGTTGTTCTTAATTTGGTCATTTCCACGATGACATTCGCTGCTTGAATGTATTCCCCAATGGGATAAGCATGGGCAACCAATTAGTTTAAGATTTTTTACCAAATGAAAAATATTAATCTCTGTCCCTGTGTAGTTCTTTTAGGTTTGGTATCAATGAAATTTAAAACATGGTTAATATTTATAGAAAACTAATGAAAAAGACTCTACAAATATTTTGGGCTAAAAAACACGTAATGAACTTTCTTTAAGCATCAGAATAAAGAAGCTGTTGCAGGATTGTAAATAAGTTGAATTTTGAGCTCAATGACGGTATCGTAAATAAAGTTTGGTGGCTCTAATAACTATTTCTTCATAACCGAGAATTTATGAAGAAATAGTTGCAATTGCAACCAAACTTTAACTTAATTATGATACTACCACTGCTTCCAAACTTCAACTTGTTTACGATATTGTCATTGCTCCCTTGTTTTTGTCCTTATTATTAATAAAATTTTGTTAGCCGTTTTTTTTATTATTAAAAAATTGTTATAAGAAGCCATTTTCATTTATACTAAATTTAGATTTTATTGTTAACTTTTGTTTGATTAGGTAAAACTAAACATGCCATAATTTCAATTATTTTCTGTCTTCTCAAATTTATTTTTTTAATATATTTTTGTTCAGGAATTTATTAGATTTTCACTCTATTGTTTGTTTAAAATGGATGGCTTCTCTAAAAGAGTAATAGAATTTATCTTATCAACCACAATCATATGCATTACTTGACAACACATCGTTGTCGAAAGACATATTTGAGTACTGAGCCAATGTCAATATTTTCCTAACAAAGATTCGTTAGCATATTATTATATGAGTTAAAAACTCTATTTTCTTTCTTGTTTTTTTCCCTAGTTGTTATAGCACTTTTTGTTTGGGGCGATAAGAGTTTTCGTGATTGTAATTGCTTTCTTACTCTGTTGATGAGAACCTTTGTGATGACTATCAAACTTAGATCTTTAAGTGACGACTATTGTTCAGGTTAAGGTTGGTTTTTGTTTTTTTTTTGGTGTGTGTGCATGTTAAAATACCATGAGTAGGAAGCTCGATATTTGTTAGAGATAACTCATTGCAGTGCTTCTTTGATGATAATTGTAAAATCATCAGAGATGGTGCAGTCTTTTCCTCGTGATGTTGTACATTGGTTTTACAACTCGCAAGGATGTTATCGTTCTAGTTTGGTGAAAAACTCAAATGTAAAAATGATAAGCTACTAAAAAATTATGGTTGGAAACGTATATCATCAGGGATATACTTGCGTTTCATAAGAGTACGTATCAGTCATACGGTCCTATTTCAGATATGCTTTTTCATGCACAGGTCATCTATCAGCTGCTAGTACCAGAGTACACGCGTCACAATGGGAGCGAAAAGACATCCTCATGCCCCATTGCTCCGTCTTCATCATCCGCATTTACATTTCTACCCTTCTTGGTTGAGCCTTATTACTAGCCCAAAATTGTCTTTTTATTTGTGTCTTTTTGGTGAGTTTCCTAAAAGTAATTAATCTTTTTTCTTCACAAGAAAAAAATAACTAAACTAACATAAGTCATGCACGTTGTAAACAGTTTAACACTATAAATGGTATGCTGTTAGATTGTTAATTTTGATTATTAATTAAATTGCTTTTTATATGAATATTTGGTACACGAATATTTTGCACTGCAACGCCGTCTTATATTAGACCATCTCGAAACCTGGGCTAAAAGCCAAATTACCCCCCAAATTACCCTCCCAAACACTCTCCAACCCATGTTAAAATTTTAGGCTAAATGCCAAATGTTATTTCTGGGCCAAATACCCCCCAGCTTTCCCCCCAGGCTAAATGCCAAATGTTTATCGGAATTTAAATTTTTTTATATTAAAATGTTCATAAAATTAATTTACAATAATATACATATTTAAAAAAAAAAAATGATTTAAGAAAAAAATTAGCCTAAGTTTATTCTTTAATAATTCCGGGCTAAAATTTTAAGGCAGAAGAGTTGGAGCAGAAAATATGTTTCTGGGCTAAAAGCCAAATTTTCCGGGCTAAAAAATTTGGCTTTTAGCCCAAAGGTTGGAGATGGTCTTAGAACGTTACCTAACGAACAAATGTTAGAAATAACATAACTAATGATAATTGATACAATGTAAGTAAAAATTATATAAAGAAATTTAGCAAAAAAGCACATATGGTTGAGATTTTTTTTTTTCAAAAAAAAAACAATATTGGTACAATGTCATAAAAATCGACATTAAACAAACTAATTCACATTTAGGAGAACAAAAAAATTGAATTACGTGAATATTAATTTTATTATTTTGAGAAGGGGGTGGGGGACAAGGAGATAAAAGAGAGTAGGTAGCCATGGCTTATGGTGGTTAAGCGAATTTATTAATCGATTTATCATTGAGATGGAAAATATCCAAAATTAAAATTCTAGTAAATGTTCTTGCCATGCACACCCTCAACACAATTTTCACTCTCTCTCTCTCTCCTCTCTCTCTCTCTCTCTCTCACACACAAAATCAGGCAATTACCCTTCTGGTCTCCAGCTGTGTATATTTCTCAATCTCGTTTTCTTCTGATTCCCTATTGGTGCCCTTTCCCTCTCCCTCTCATCTCTCTCTCTCTCTGCCCTAGAAAGACCCACTCATTCCTTCATAAGCTGCTCTCAAGCTGCAGTCTTTTCAGCCAACCTTGAGAGAGAGGGGGAGTGAGAGAAAGAGAGAGAGAGAGAGAGACTTCACTCCAAATACACTATTCATTTTATCGGGTTTTATTTTCTTTCCTTCGTCGTATTTATTCTTCTTCTTCGTTTTCTATTCTTTGATTTCTAAAGCTCAATCGTCATCGTCCCCAGAAATCTGAAAAAAAAAAACTCAGAAAATAAATGTACACATACTAAATATATAAAACCAAAAACAAAGTTTGAGTCTTTATTCATTTTTGTTTCATAGTTGATCAACTTTGGTATTCCTAGTGAGAGAAAGAGAGGAGAGAGAGTTTGTTGTTGTTGTTGTTTTTGCAATGGCACCCAGTTTTGACTGCGCGGTTTCAAGCCTGCTCTGCGCAGAGGAAAACATTTTTGATAATGACGATTTTGGGTCTGAGGAGGTTCATAGAAATCATCGAAACAACAGTCATAAGGAAGGGTTTTGGGATGATGGGGAGGAAGGTCTGCCTTTGCAGAGTCAGAGTGATGAGTATTTGAGTTCAATGGTAGAAAAGGAATTTCAGCACTTGCCTGCATCTGATTACTTGGTGAGGTTGCGAAGTGGGGACTTGGACCTTGCTGCTAGACAACAGGCTGTTGATTGGATTGGAACGGTCATTTCTTTACTCTCTTATCTTTTCTTTTTCATTTTTTCTATGTTTTTGGGGTTCTTTTTAATTTGATGGTTGTGGCATTTCTCCAATCAGAAAGAGCTTTTCTTTTCGTTTGGTTAATGGATTCAGAGACAAATTTTATGTTTTTTTTTACCTTAACTTGATATATTTTTTTTATATTATATATATATATTTTTTGGGGAGTTTTATGAAAGATGGGTTTGGGGTTGTTTTTGGTTTGGTATGGTGGAGAATCTATTCTGGTTTGCTTTATGGGAAACAGAAAAATTGGATTTATGTTTTTACACTTTCCCCTGTTCTAAGCTGAACATGCCAAAGAGTCAAAGACCAACCCAGAAAAGGGGGAAAAGTCTGATTAGATTTTCTCTGATTAATTAACTTCTTAATAAATCTTGCTAACATTGTGTTTTTTGGCTAATCAGGCAAATGCACATTTCAGTTTTGGACCTCTGTGTCAATACCTATCCATAAACTACTTGGATCGGTTCCTTTCTGCCTATGAATTTCCTGTAAGTCTTTGATCAGTAAATCAAAAACAGGACTTACAGATTGTGTGTTTAATTGCATCCAAGTCCTTCCATTGCTGATTTTGCATCTGTTATTTCTGCATAAACCATCTGCAGAATGTCAAGGCTTGGACTATGCAATTGTTGGCTGTGGCATGCTTGTCCCTTGCTGCAAAAATGGAGGAGATTGATGTCCCACTCTCTCTTGATTTACAGGTTAGGATCCAACCACTCACATCCTCTGTATACTCAAGTCTTTTTAATTTGATCATTCTTGAGTTTTCTGTGACGGAATTTGAACCGGGTCTTGAATTATGTGTTTGAGAATGCCCTAAAGATGTGAGTTTTTTCCAAACAGGTGGCAGACTCAAAATTTGTGTTTGAGGCAAGAACAATTCAAAGGATGGAGCTTTTGGTGTTGAGCACATTAAGATGGAGAATGCAAGCAGTTACCCCCTTCACATTCATAGATTCTTTCCTTCTCATGATCAATGATGATCAAACCAATCTCAAAACTTCAATCTTGAGATCATCCCACCTGATTGTGACCACTGCCAAGGGTACTATTCTTGTGCTACAAGTCATAATATGTGTCTGAAATTGTACCAATCATGGTGAAAAAGCAGCTTAATGTTTGGTGGGAATTGAATGCAGGAATTGACTTGTTGGAATACAGGCCTTCAGAGGTGGCAGCAGCAGTAGCAATTTCTGTGGCAGGAGAGGCCAAAACATTAGACAATGAGAAAGCAATCTCTATGCTCATTCAACATGTACACTTAGTAAAGGTATATCATAATTTGGTTTGTTTGGTGGTCCAAGTCCCATAAAGAGAGAGAGAGAGAGATAAATGATGATGATGATTTTTGCTTTTGCTCTTATCATTTTGAGTTGATTGCAAATTACAATTGCAACATACGGAATTAGCACTTCAAAAAAGTCATTTTGCATCCCGAACATATAAGGGATAAAATAAAGTGCGAACGACTTTTTTAAAGTGTCAATAGATTAAATTCTACAAACAATACAAATGTAATATGATTAAACTAGACATGTTACAACTGTATTGACTTTGTTTATATTTTGGCTTGTTTTTTCAGGAGAGAGTGGCAAAGTGTGTAAATATGATTCATGATATGGCATTGATGAGTGGGACCCCCATGAAGGAAGCTAGCGGGTCAGCCCAGAGTGTGCCCCGGAGTCCAATAGGGGTGTTGGATGCTGGATGCTTCAGCTATAAAAGTGATGAAACCACAGTTGGGTCATGTGCAAATTCCTTCCACGATAGCTCGGATTCTAAAAGAAGGAAGCTAAACAGACCCTCTGAGGTGGAGTTATAGAGACCTAAATATGTCACTTTGTTACATAAGTAGGATTTTGGTGTGCTTTATCAAGTTTTTTTAAAGAAAACAAAATGTGGAAAATGATGGGAGAGGAGGAATGGCGTGAGGAAAAGAAAAAACCTCTCCAGCTGTTAAATATTAGACTTCTTAGCAGCCAGAGACTCCTGAGCAGATAAACTGAGAAAAAGGGTAGCGATTTTCGCACTCTTAAGCCGTGTTCGGTTTTGTGAGATACAGTTTGTGTTTAGGGTTTGGAGTTTTGTTTATTTATTTGGTTACAAGAGAACAAAAACAGGAAATCTGAAAAGTAATATATGATTGCAGGAATATTTATATATGTTCTTGAGAGTCTTTGGCAGTCTTAATTAATTATGATTACATGCAAGTAAGATTAGTTTAATAATTTGTGAGGCGTAGTGGGGAAACTTTGTGCAGTGATCTGTTTGTGTTTGACTGTTTGTCGAATTCGACCGTGGGGGTGATGGGGGTGTCTGCAATTTTGCTTTGTTGATATGGGGAGGGGAACTTTGGGAAGACAAGAGACGGTGATATCTCTGTCAGAACAAGCTGAAGCACCTATTTTGTGTCTCCACCTACACCTTCTTTGTCCATCTACTTGCAGACTCAACATGCTCTCCCAAAGCAACACTTAGTTTATTACCTTCCAGTGACATTTATTCGTGCCCTAATTTGTAAAGCCCAAGAGACTGTCTTGGTTGTATGTTTTCTTCTTCTATGTTTCTCGCCGCGTGTTTATGGGATACACAACCGGAAATAGCTAAGAATCTCTATGTAATTAGCCTCTCTCTTAAGCTCTAAGGGATTAAAAACTAATATGTAGCATGAATTTACATCCTCCGTCTTGTATCGTTCTTCCAAGAGACTGATGATTCGTTTTGTATTTTATATTGGGGTTTAATTAGCAACAATTCGCATTTGCCAGATGAATATGCCGGCAGATCTACATTAAATTCTACATGCATCAACCGTTTGATTGTCTTCTAAGTATACAGTGTATTTTATGTAGTTGTCTAGTTTAAAGATACATTAAGGTGCCCTATATGCAAATGAGAATAAGCTTGGCCACTTTGAGGAATGGTCCTGTGACTCAAAGGCAATAATGCTCAAAGGGAGGAATCAAAAGAGTAGCAATAACAGTGACTACAAACAAAAATTATGTAAACCAACTAGTGTATACTAAATATTACTAGAAACACGTATTGATAATCAATCTACAAACGAGATTAAATCCTTTTGTATCTACAACACTTATCACGTAACTTGCTAACGCAATAAGTTTTCCATACGACAATAAGACCTAGAGTGGGAAGTGCTTAATTTTTTACATAGATGACACGTGACAACTCCCAAAGGAATAGTTGATCACAACAACAGAAAGCTTAATCAACAAAAGCTGCAGGAATAATGTCATGTGCATCCAGATTTTACAAAGTTAATTTTACTGACAATCCTGAAAGGCACATCAAGTTTTACTAAGGAAATTGTAATGTGGAATATTCTCCATAGAGAATCAATTGCATTATGGGCAGTCGCCTAGGGTTTCAAATTTTCCCTTCAATTAAACAAGATGGTGGTAAATCAAATCAATTAATATTGCATTATGAGGGTGATAATGGGCAGGCTTAAGTACAATCAATATTGACATAAGAAATAAACGTCACACTAATTAAGATAGTACGTGATTGACAAAAACAAAAAAAACAAAAAAAGATAGTACTTGTGATCAATTAAGTGAGAAGAAACATTTGTTATCCACTAAGCAATGTCCATTTTTATTTGGTTATAGAATCTTTTACAACACTAATACCAGAGAATCCTGTAAAGGCCAACAGGATCCTCTACGGATTTTTTTTGGGAAGAATTCTGGAGATTCGTAAATCGTGTCCGTTCATCGTATATCATGCGATCAGTTTTTGTTAGGTACTGTTTGTATTTAATTTTAATTAAAAATATTAAAAATAATTTCTGATCGCACGATATACGATGAGTAGACACGAATAATGAATCTGTATGATCTTTACAAAGAGGATCCGCTAAGAATCCGGATTCCTGTAAAGGAACCGTCCCTCCAAATCAAACCCTAAAAGCTATAGTCAACAAGCCACACTCAAACAATTACCATGCCAAAACATTTGATTGATCAATGAAACAGAGAACAACTTAGATGATGCAGAAAAATCAAAATAATAACGTCATTTACTAATCATGCAACACTATGTGAAGAAGTTAATACAGATTACGACGTGTGATAGATTTGGAATATGTCACGGTGGTGTACCGGAGGTGTAAGTAGGTCAACCATTTAAGATGAAAAGACAGTTCGAAATGATGCAGAACAGCAAATATCTAATGTCAATTTGTGACTTTTCTGGGAGAAACTTCTCAGGTGAGATGTAGGCATTGATTAAATAAAAAATGAGTTATCCTAAACATTTGGTAAAGAGAAAATACATGACCATTCACGTTATTGCTTGCCCTACCAACCTAGTGGCAAATGAGAGATTTAACCTAAGGTCCCAAGTCCCAACCCAAAGTGATTTTTCCAGTTTCATGAAGCTGCAACAGGCTGGTGAGAAACAATGATTTGTCAAGAAACTCAAGGAACAAGGAGGGGGCTGAATTGTCACTTCCGATAAACTATCACATAAAAGAGCAGGCTGAGAGGGGTCATGGGGCTTATAGCCTTATAGTAGTGGGTCAAAAGTCGTCCCATCAGGAAAGGAGCTTGTCAATGACAAATCACAGGCAGAGATAATAGACACGTGAGGAGAGATATAGATAAGTAAAAAGAAAGAGGTATACTACTTAGGACACATGTGAAAATATAAGATGAGAGAGAGGAGCATAAGACTCCGAGACATGAAAGTTCTTATCGACAGTCGGACCATGGTTCAACTTGTTAATTCTTCTTGAAAGAAAAGGTTGTTACTAAGACATACAAATAAATAAATAAAAGAATATTAGGACATGAAATCGTTAACAAGTACAGTGAATTGGCACAGAGAATGAATCATAGCAAATGAACTTTTGTCCATAAATTTCGAAATAATTCAATTCACTATATAATCAATTTATCCATGTGAAAGCAAGTTAAAGACTTACTAAATGAAAACAAAAGCAATAAGGTTAAGGATAATCCTAAAGTTAATAGGATAATACTTAGGCATTCATTAGTGAGTACCTTATATACTCATTTTCTGATTTGGCCCAATCAAAAGATGTCACGTGTTTATTGAATAAGTAGTACATGAACACACGGGTCTGAGCAAATGCTGACTGATACTAGCCTTTCCCTATTGTCAAAAATATCTCTGGGGTTCTTAAAATCTTTTGGCCTATACTGCACATATTTGGGCTTTGGAACCTAAAGAATAATCATGTAGGGCATCCTATCCATATAATCAAAAGATAGATCACAGAAGAGAGTATTTACAAGAACATATTAAAATTTGATTTTCCTATCACATGCCAATTCCTCCAGTATCGATACAATTGAATTCCGCACCGAATCGGATGAATCCGAACACGCATATGATGCTCGCATCAATTTCGTTTCCCTAATTTTTTTTTTTTCTGGAATGAAATCTTTCGATTGAATTGAAAATTTCTTTCCCATTAGTTCGATTCATATTGTAAATCCGATGAACTTAATCTGCATACTGACCTCCATCGATCGAAGAATAGGAAGCTCCCGGTGGCTATCTCTCCCTCTCGCGGCGGCTCTCGGAGGTGGACGTGAGCTGGAAATCGCGGTGGAACTTAAATAGCGGGAGAAAAGGCGGGACTGGTTGTGGTTTGATTTCAAGAGGATGGCGGTGGGTGGTGACCATCTGATCTGCTGCTTAAATTACCATTATGTCCCTGTTATTTGGTCCCATAAATTTATTAGCTTGGTGGATTGGCCCAAGTTTTAGTGCGGCACCATTGGGCCTAGTTTTGGGCTGAAGTCCATCATTCATATATGCCCTGTCAAATCAGCGTCTCAGGCCCATCAGTCCAAAATTGTTGTACAAAATTTGTCACTCATTTTTCCATCTTCTCTCACCACTCAAGCCAACTCAGTATTGTAGATTTTTTGTTTTTGATAAGAATCTGGCGTCTCCTTCTTTGGTTTTTTGGTAGAATGGGAACTTCTGTCTCATGAATTCGTTTGAGTATTAGGTTGATAATGTAAATGGTTTGTGTACTGTACGTTTTCAACCTCATCAATTTAATTGTTTAAGGCCAGAATGGACACATCATAGAATCTCGGGGTGTCGGAAAAGTAGTGTGTGACTGCTATTGTTGCTTCACACAAACTGTTGAGCAATTCAAAATATTACGTTCATTGATTAGACAAAAAATTCAATAATAATTTACTATGAAAGGTGTTCGAGGCAAAGATGGATGGCCCTTCGCACAGCTCCCTAAGGGTGGATGACACTTTGGGTCTGGTAGTCGGGCGAGCTCTTGATGCTTGATGTGCTGCAAGATAAGTTTGAAGTTAGTTTAAAATGTGCCTTTGTGGGGCCTTAGGTGTAGGCCTTGAGGCTCGCAATCAAAATTAACAATATGCTAGGCGTGCCACTGCTATCTCAGTATAACAGATGTAGAACAAGTGTGTTTTAAGTCGATTATACTTCTTGTTATCAAAGGATTGTTGCAGATGAGTTAAGTCTGCATCGAGTTCTTTTTCTTGCCTTGTGAACAAGGACTTTTAGTTCATAATCTTGTATGTTCGAAATGAAGGGAGTTCAGGGCCCTTTAAACCATTTCATCGATCCCAGTTAGTTCTTAATGGAAAGAAGCCTATTAAATTAACCAGATCCGATTGCAAATAGGACTACTAGGTAGAAAACAACTAGAAATAACTTGAATATATGCTGAAAAGTACATGAAACAATAGATCTACTAAACTAAAGTACAAACAAAGAGACTCGGGCAAGATTTCACCTTGTTGGGCAAGGTTGAACTTCTTGCAGCCACTTCTCTTTGAGTTTAGTGAGGTTGTATGCTAAAAAAGGATGGATGGTAAATAAGTTTTACATGAGGGGATCGATACTACAACACTAGGGAAGGTAGCAAAGCTTTTACACTAGACAAAAGATGACTTTTCTAAGGGAATTATTGCTAAAAGGACTTAATCTAAGGGAGTTTCAGCTTTCTGGATGCAAATCTGGCTTGAGAGTAGAGTTTGTATGTTGTTTGTTTGATTGGTTGAGTGTCCTTGTCTCTATTCTCTCTTTCTCCTTTTATAGGTGATTTGGTCCGACTGTCTGGGCTTTGTTCTTGTCCGAAAGCTCTTGGAGGACAGTGAGTCATCTTGTATTTACACCTTTGTGCCATCAGAA